ATAGTACTTATGTTCAGTTTCAGAAATAGTGTAATACTCATGTTTAGTTTCAAAAATAGTGTAGTACTCGTGTTTAGTTTCATAAATAATTAGTGTTCAACTTTCCGTTCAGTTTCAAAAATAGTATGTGTGACTGACACACGCGTTAATTTTTTATTACATTTTTCTATTTTATTTTTATTATATTAAACTTTTTTTCTTTTCGATTAAAATTTAAGTACTTTTCATTAAAGTTTAAGCTCTTTTGTCCTTTTCATTAAAATTTAAGTCATTTTTTTAATTAAATAAAGTTATAGAATGATTTTTTGTTAAAATAAACTTAAACCAAGCCATTTTCATTTAAGCTTCATTTTTGTTAAAATATGCCACATAGGATCTTTGACATTACCTTTGAAGATGCTCTTAGTTGTCATAAATAAATTTGGACTTCTCATAAACAATCTTATACCCAATCACACTATGGCTTGCTTTATATGTCTCCCAAAAGTTATTGAAACCATCAATAGAGGCTAGGAAATTTCTTGGAATAAAAACTCTAATTTCTCCCTGTGGTTGTGGCTGGAAAGATGTATGTTTACCTAAGACTTTAGGGGGAATGCGTATTAGACAGCTGAAGATTTTAATCTTGCCTTCCTTGCAAAGCTTGCTTGGAAATTTATTTCAGATAATGACAATTGGTGGGCTAAAATTGTGAAGGTAAAATATCAATGAAACCTTTGTAATGTGAAGTGTAAACAAAATCAGTCTATGGCGTGGAAAGGAATTCTGGCTAATAAACCTATCATTCAAAAATGTATGAGATTGATTGTGGGAAATGGTCAAAACATTTTGTTTTGGTCCCATAACTGAGTTTTTCCTTTTCCACTATCCACTCTCATTCAAGACCAGTTAATAAACTCTTTAAATTTAAATCTGAAAGTTAGTGATGTAGGTAGATAAAATGTGGAACAAGAAGTTAATCCTTCAATTGCTGCCTAATGATGTGGCTGATAAAATTTTTGCCATCCCTATCGCTTTAAGTGACATGGAGGATGAGTTTATCTGGGGGACCGTATGCTAATGAAAATTTCTCAGTTAAATCAGTTACTTGAATTCAAATTGATGATACCCATAGTAAACCTTTCAAAGAGTTACTAAAAAAAGTGTGGAAACTTATCATTCCACATAAAGTTAATTTTTTTGCTTGGTTGCTTATAAGAAATAGATTGTCTACCTTCAAAAGATGAAGTAAGTATCATCATAATGGTCAAACTCTTTGCCTTTTATGCACTATTGCAGTGGATGATCAACTATACTATTTTGTTTATTGTACTCATGCTCAAGAAGTTTGGAACCTTTGTAATAACCTGTCTCCACCCTCCTCCATTAGCAATATGAATGATTGGTTAATGGGATGTCAGCTTTCAATAAAGAAGACATTTATGATCTTAATAAAATCCTAATTCTTTGTTGGCAAATGTGGAATGAGAGAAATAATTTTGTTGTTAAACTGATTAAACCTCATCCAACTCGATGTCTGATGGCAATGGCTACAATTGGTAAAGAGTTCTTGAAGGCTAATTTGAAACAGAAACCAAGGAAGACTAAGATTTCAAGCAACACCATGAGTTGGAAAGCACCTACATAAGGCTTTTATAAGCTCAATTTTGATGGGTCAGTGGAGGGCACTTTTGCTGCTGCGGGTTTTATAATCAGATTCATCAGAAACAACCTTCTCTCTTGGGTGCTTGACATCTTGGACCAAATGCTATCACTGTGGTTGAAGCTCAGGCTCTTCGGGATGCCTTGGCTTTGGCCAACAACGTCAAATCAGGAAAATTGTGGTAGAAGGGGACTCAAAGGTCGTCATTGGTGCAATTCTAAAAAGTGTGCAGTACCATAAAGAATTAGGTCTATCGTTGAGGACATTAAATGGCTTGCCTCATCGTTCGAGTTAGTAGAATGGAATCATGTCCACAGGAAAACAAACTTCACAAGGGATGCCATAACTTATCTTGGGCATAATTGTTCTAATTTATATATTTGGGATAGGTGTGTTACCCAAGCAAAAAACGCTCTCTTGTATGATTCTCAAGGCCTTGGGTGTCTCTAAAGTTTCTCTTTAAATTAATCTTCTTTCTTCCTCCTAAAAAACAAAAAAAAAAAAAATCTCCCCAACTCAAGGGGTGGAAACCCAAAATTAGCCTAGTATTTTCAACTATTCATCTATACGTATGAGGTTAGTCAAGTTTTCCTTCCAAGGATAAACGACTTATAATTCTCACTTCTAATTTTATAACTTGTTAAATATTTTAATTTCTCTAATAATTTTTTTTAACAATTTTGGATTTAGTTTTATATCATCTTTCTTATTTGTTTTACAAACAATTCGATGTAAAAAATATGGGTTGCACAACAATATGACCGTTGGAAAGGCCTATAGATGTGAGCGCCTCACTGGATCATAACCATGAGGCTCGACAGCCTATGGATGGCAACGGTCATGAAATCACATATGCACAGTTTTCTCCAACCACATGTTACACCACACTGAATCAACCCGCGTCAGTGAAACTTATGCGAAGGCTCTGTTGTCCATCCCTTCCCCCCCCCCCCCCCCCCTCTCTTTTTTTCACATAGGTTTGCTTCCAAAAACCTTATCCACCCGGGGTGTATACTAGACCCAATTACCCACCCAAATCCCAAAAGCTTGTTTTCCCCACCCCAAAATACACCACTTAGAGAAGAAATGGGCTTAAATTCTAATTTTTTTTTCCCACCTATGTTGGAGATAGTCTAAGGCTTGAGCTGCATTCTTTTGACTTAGAGCATAAGTAATGAGAGATGCAAATTACCTTGAAGTGAGCACGTTTACATTTGTTCTTTGCCTAAAGCTCTATAATAGCGGAATGTAAACTATCAATCTTTGTCTAAACATGTAAATAAATATGTGTATTTATATTGTTTTTATACTTTTAGAAGGTGGATTCCGCTGGTCAAAGAGAAAAAAATAAATAAGATTTTAAGTTTACATCAATTTATATCTTCAAGTAAAATGAGATGTAAATATAATTTTTACATCTAAAATTTGCATCTCTCTTAAACACCTTTATTAGGTGAGATTGGATGCAATAATTGTAATCTCTTGTAAAGTGAAAGTAAACTGATCCCTTTTGCATTAGATTTTGAATCTCCTTGTCACGGTTATTAATGATTGTTTGGAAGTACTTAAAATGATTGAAAACGATTTTAGAAAACATGTTTTTGAGTTTAAAAAGAACTTAAAGTGCTTTTTGCAGAAAACACTTTAAGTGTTTTTTTTTTTTAAATTCAATTGCATTATATCTTTTTTTGATGAAGAAGAAATTTATTAAAGCTTAAAACCTCTAATACAATTGTTTCCCGTACAATCAAAATTAAAAGCCTCCATAGCCGAAGTTGGAAAACAAAAATCTCAAAATGTGGGTTGGCAACAGTGAGGCTCACGTGAGCTAATGCGTTCGCCACAAAATTAGCCTCCCTATAAATATGCTTCCAACTGATACGCTGAAATTCAAAAGCCAACCATTTAATGTCCTCTATGATAGGTTTAAGATGCAAAGGGGGCATCCAAACATCTTGCACGCCCTAGATGACAAGCTTAGAATCCCCTTCCACCATCAACTTCTTCACACCTTTGCGCCTAGCAAACAAAAGCCCTTCCTTTCAAGAGCCTCCTCAACCGAAATGGTGCGCCATCAAGGTTCAATGCCCCTGCACGAACAGGTTGCCCCTCCTTATTTCTAAGAACAAAAACAGCTGCAGAGCGATCCAAACTAACTGACCCATCAAAGTTTAATTTCACATAGCCATGGGGAGGAGGACGCCAACAAATGGGGTGTTGGTGGTAAGGATCACCCTTAGAGATCGTCTTACAATTAACCTTAAAAAAAAGATAAGCCTACACTTGCGGCAATGGAGATACTCCTAGCCGGATTAGGAATTATACTTCTAAAAACTTATTATTTCTATCATTCCATATTTGCCAACAATTCAAAATAGCCTTACTAAGATCACTCAAATCATTGCATTCAATATTGTCAATTATTTCCATACAATCTAACTCATTATTCAACTGAGTCAAATTATTCTTCCAAGGACTTACCGGAGAGAGGTTCTACATTTCTTTAGCATGCTCGCAATTAAGAAAAAGATGATTTTGAGTCTCATCCTCATTGCCACACATAGGGCACAATTTGTGAATATTTTGAATAAATTTACTAATCTCATCCTAGTATGAAGTTTTTCATGAGTAAAAAGCCATGAATTTTTATTTTTACCTTTGGAGGTATCATTAACTTCCATATCTTCTTAAGGAGCTTCTACCTTTTAACTTCTTGATTATTATTACTCTGAATCCAAGTCGCTAACTTGATTGAGAACTCACCAGTAGAGGAGTGTTCCCACACAAAATTGTCACTTTTATTTTGAAGGGAAATAGGCACCATACAAATTTTCCTCACGACATCCAAGTCCAACACTTAGGAAATACAAACTCTATCCCAACATTTATTATCAATAAACTCACTCACTTTAGTGTCCCAATTTATGTTCTGTCGTTGATTTTTAGGAATTAGCTGGAACAATGGATAAGGAAAAACCTAATGATGGGTCCAAAAAATGATATCCTCACCATTACCTACAACCCATCTAATTCCTCTGTTAATAACATGTCTATTATTCAAAATCTCTTTTCAGGCCGAAGAGTGGCTCTGCTTGACTTTGCAACTAAAAAAATCATCATTCATTAAATATTTTATTTTAACAATTTACACCCACCAATTGCATTATATCAAGAATTAATTTAAAAAAAATTCAATAAAAATATTTTCAATCATTTTAAAACAATTCAAACAAGCCTAAAATAGTTTTGAGAAGAATATAATCGTGTAATAAAAAGATACCGTACCGGTTTGCTATATCCTCCACCGGTTCGGGTTTAACACAAGCCATTTCTCATCGGTTTTAATTTGTTATTCTTCTACTGTCGTCGTCCTCTTTAGACGAAGCATTTTGGTTTGACGCAATCAGTTGCAGAGAGAGAGAGAGAGAGAGAGAGAGAGAGAGAGGAGAAGGCTCCGGAGCAAAGAGATGAGCGGCCACGACTCCAAGTACTTCTCCACCACCAAGAAGGGCGAAATCCCTGAGCTCAAAGAGGAGCTCAATTCTCAATACAAGGTCATCTCTCGCTCTCTCCTCTTTCTCTCTCTACACTCATATTTGTATGTTCAAATTGATCTGTGATCTACTTCTATTAGGGTTTCGATTCTTCGTTACGGTGTTTTGTTGCCAATCGGGGATTGGTTCGTGCAGATCTGTTGGTTTACAATTCGAGTTTTTGCTTAAATTGGTGTTCGATTTCTTCATACTTGTCAGTGTCACCCCGGGGTTTTGGAATTGTGCGGATCCGATACGGAATATGTGTATTTCACTTGTAGTGAGCTTTGTGTTCTGTTTGGTGCTGGCAAAATTAATGGAAATGGAAACGAAAACGAAAGCGTAAAGGAAAATCTGCTCTTTTGTTTTTGTTTTCTTCTCGAGTGAGTAGAATTCGAATGCAATTCCTTTTTCGTATTTGGTAGTAACGAATCGTAACATTTTTTATTGCTCAAAGTGCAGTCAATTGTAGTTTTACATGATAATTTTACATTTCTGATATCGGCATAGCTTATAAGTTCATTCCTGTGATTTGTTTGATTCCCATCACAATACCCTCGTTTGCACCATTAAATTTGATTTTTTTTAATATTGGGCCTTTTTTTCAGTTCTGAATTATGTTTCTTGTGTACTTTGGTGGAGACTGAGAAAATAATCGTCTTATATGGGTGGTACAGGATAAGAGAAAAGATGCCGTCAAGAAGGTGATCGCGGCAATGACTGTTGGGAAGGATGTTTCATCACTTTTCACAGATGTGGTAAATTGCATGCAAACAGAAAACTTGGAGCTGAAGAAGCTGGTCTATTTGTATCTGATAAATTATGCTAAAAGCCAGCCTGACCTAGCTATACTTGCGGTGAATACATTTGTCAAGGTAAAACTGCAATGGAACCTTCAGTTTTATACAGTTCGCGCATCTTGATGTCAGAATCTGTTGCCCATCCAATATGTTGGTTGATATGCTGATTTTCAAATTCATATCTTCTCATAGTTTTCGAGTACCACACACTCGCATGTAATCAGATCAGGTCAATTCAGACATTTTTACAGATGACTTATATGCTTTAGAAGAAAAGATAAGATAGGCGGACTATAGCCATTTGATTATAAGTTAACGGGCAAAGAATATGTGATAGATGGGCAAAGGATATGTGATAGATGCTGAAATTGCAATGTTCAAGGGTGTATATAATAATTCAAACAGATAAGTATTGTAAAGAAGAGAACTTTATCATGCTAAAGCTAGTAGAAATGGAATTTTCCACTTGATATTTAAATTCCAAGTCTATAACATCATCTCTTTCTTCAGTACTCCATCTGCTTCAGTTAATTGTCTGTCTTTATAACGGAGCAGGTGATGTTCCAAATATGATGTTCAGGATAGCCAAATTGGTCTTATGGCACCTTCACGATAGCCAATGTGATGTTCCAAATATAATGTTCAATAACATCATCTCTTTCATTTTTTTTCCTTTTTCTTTTTTGAAAGGAGGTTAATTCCTACTTATGTCAAGAAAAAATTGAATTAAGCATTTTTCAAATAATTCTTTGTTCTAATTGGCTTGTGTTGCATGATCAATTATGCAGGATTCACAGGACCCAAATCCTTTGATTCGTGCTTTAGCCGTCCGGACAATGGGTTGCATTCGTGTTGATAAAATTACAGAATACCTATGTGATCCCCTTCAGAGGTGTCTTAAGGTTGATTTTTAGTGCTTATACATTTTTTGCACATGCTTTCTTGTCAAAACTTAGTCTTAAGTTTGTTAATAATTTGCAGCTTGCAATGGTTACTTTTGAACATGTTGTAAAGTAGTTTGCGTGGCTTGGCTTGCATCTTGTTATCTGTTTCTTAGTTTTCTTTACTTCATGACAGGATGATGATCCTTATGTTCGGAAGACAGCAGCCATATGTGTGGCCAAACTTTATGACATAAATGCAGAGTTAGTTGAGGATAGGGGTTTTCTGGAATCTCTCAAGGATTTGATATCTGATAATAATCCTATGGTTGTAGCCAATGCTGTGGCTGCTCTAGCCGAAATTCAAGAGAATAGTAATAGACCCATCTTTGAGATCACTAGTCACACTTTGTCAAAGCTCCTAACTGCCTTAAATGAATGCACAGAGTATGTGTACTTTTAGTAGTGCTTACTCAATTATTTTTATGTACTGAATAATATTCATGCAGTTAGATCATGCTATCTTTTTGTTAAAATCCATTTCATTTGTTTATCTAACTTGATTATGATAAGTGTTCAGGTGGGGTCAAGTTTTCATATTGGACGCTCTTTCTAAATACAAGGCAGCAGATGCTCGTGAAGCTGAAAATATAGTAGAGCGAGTTACACCACGATTACAACATGCGAACTGTGCAGTTGTACTTTCAGCTGTCAAGGTATGGATTTCACTTTCTAATGTTCTGAATCATTATGCCTTCAATTATCATCATTTGGTTACTTCTGTAATTGTTTTGTCTTTTTACCTCTTTACTTGCAGATGATCCTTCAGCAAATGGAACTTATAACTAGTACTGATGTCGTTAGAAATCTTTGCAAAAAGATGGCTCCTCCACTCGTGACATTGTTATCTGCTGAGCCTGAGATACAATATGTTGCTTTGAGAAACATAAACCTTATAGTACAAAGACGACCCACAATCCTTGCTCATGAAATTAAGGTAAATAAAAATTAGTATCGGTGTAGAATCTTACTGTTTGATCCAATATAACAAGGAGTTGAGACTTGTTATCAACTATGTAGCCAGATTGTAAGTAAGGCAAGCACACATAACTCTCAACTCTTTGTAGGTGTTCTTCTGCAAGTACAATGATCCAATTTATGTAAAGATGGAAAAGTTAGAAATCATGATCAAGCTTGCTTCAGACCGTAATATAGACCAGGTATACAAATCTTGCCAGGAGCTACTATTTAATAATAGACTTAATTGGATGAAAGTTGTCAGTCTCAAAGGGGAGTTAAAATCGTGCTTGCTCCAACATTTCTGCAGGTTTTGTTGGAGTTTAAAGAGTATGCTACAGAAGTAGATGTGGATTTTGTCCGAAAAGCTGTCCGCGCCATTGGTCGCTGTGCAATCAAATTAGAAAGAGCAGCTGAGCGGTGCATTACTGTTTTACTGGAGCTTATTAAGATCAAAGTAAATTATGTAGTTCAAGAAGCCATTATTGTCATCAAAGATATATTTAGAAGATATCCAAATACGTAAGTTTTGGGTTTTCATTTTTTAATTTTAAATTGAGATGACGAAGGCTTCTTCCCTTACAAACTTTGTAATTGATTGCTATCTTGACGACAGCTATGAGTCCATTATTGCCACTCTGTGCGAAAGCCTTGACACTTTAGATGAACCAGAAGCCAAGGTACTTATGTTTATCTTCCTGTTAAAATATAGATCCCCAGCTTAAGATTTATGTTTTTTCTTTTTGTATTGCTATTAAATATTTCACTGCTTAAGCCTTCTGATTTTTACTTCGTGTTTCCATGCTCGTGTTCTTTCTCACTCTCTCCCTCAACAGGCATCAATGATCTGGATAATTGGTGAATATGCGGAACGAATTGACAATGCTGATGAGCTACTTGAAAGTTTTCTGGAAAGTTTCCCTGAAGAGCCTGCACATGTCCAATTGCAATTGCTGACTGCAACTGTCAAACTCTTTCTTAAGAAGCCGACTGAAGGACCACAGCAGATGATACAGGTTCTACTTTTGTATTATTCATGCACGGTTATCCTCTCTAGCTTCTTTTTCCTGTCATTCACCATAAATGCCATATTAGAATGCATAGTACCCTTATTAGAGCAGCCATTGTTCTAATATAATGTAGCATCGAAGAGGTGACACTCCTTTTTACTATGAATGAGAATGCATAAGGTTATATGTTTGTTCTCCTTTTGAAGTATTTCCTTGCATACTTGGGCCATAGTTGTATTTTCTAGATATTATCCAAGTAAAGTTCTCACTTTGTAGATCCATATTTGCAGGTTGTTTTAAATAATGCTACTGTGGAAACAGACAATCCTGATTTGCGAGATCGGGCCTACATATATTGGCGTCTTTTATCAACTGACCCAGAGGTGGGCTTGGCCAAAATGAGTTTCAGTTCTTTCTCATTATAATAACCTATCTTATTTTTTTCCCCTCTCTTAGTCGATATATAGTATTTTGTTTCTTGCCCATCCAATAGTTAATACGTGCCCCTTTTCTTTTACATGTACAACCACAAATTTGATTTTCCATTTTCATCTTCTTCGGGGGGACAGTTTGGGTTTGAAATCTATTTTGGGTGAAGATTTCTACCGGTTACCATTATTGTGCTCATGCGCATGCCACTTAAGTACAATTGGCCTGCTGTGAACCCTTTGCAAAACCATAGTTTGACAATTTAGAATAACATATCCTGTTAGGGTTGTAGTTTTGAGCTCATGGGCACGCTTCTTATTTCACAGGCAGCCAAGGATGTGGTGTTAGCTGAGAAGCCAGTGATCAGTGACGATTCAAACCTGATTGATCCATCTCTTCTTGATGAGCTTCTTGCTAACATTGCTACGTTATCCTCTGTGTATCACAAGCCTCCAGAAGCATTTGTTACCCGTGTGAAGGCCACAGCGCAAAGAACTGAAGATGAGGACTATGGTAGTGAAACAGGAAATTCTGAATCACCTGCTCATGTTGCTGATAGCTCTGCATCCCCAACCGCAACTAGTTCAGGTGTTCCATATGCTGCAGCTAGACAACCTACACCAGTTTCGCCTGCACGTGCGCCTGCACCTGCACCTGCTCCAGTACCAGATTTGCTTGGTGACCTTATGAGCCTGGAAAACAGTGCTATTGTCCCTGTAGATCACCCTGCTTCTCCTGCTGGGTAAGTATAATCGAAGTTGCATAGTGATCTTATTTATGTGATAGATTCCTTGTCATGTGGAGTGGACCGACTCTGATGGCTGTGGGTGATATTTTTTCCAATTTGTGTGAAAATTAGCTATGAGCTTTTGTCCAAAACAAAAAACTGCATATGAACTGTTTGATAAAGCAATCCAGTGGTTTAATTTAAATGCCACAAATAGTCATTGTCCAATGTAAAGTATTAAAATAACTTAATTTTCTGACCTTGATTGCAGACCTCCATTGCCTGTCGTTCTGCCATCGTCAACCGGTCAAGGGTTACAAATCAGTGCTCAGTTGACACATAGGGAAGGACAAATATTTTACAGTTTATTGTTCGAGAACAACACACAGGTTCCGCTAGATGGGTTCATGATTCAGTTCAACAAAAATACATTTGGTCTTGCAGCTGCTGGACCCCTTCAGGTACTTATTAAACAAGTAAGTTGAGTGAGATTTCTTGCCAAATAAAATTTGTAACAAAATACCTTAATGCCTATTAGGTTCCACAATTGCAACCTGGGACATCAGCGGGGACTCTCTTGCCTATGGTTACGTTCCAGAATATGTCTCAAGGTCCTCCAAGCTCACTATTGCAGGTTGCTGTGAAAAACAATCAACAACCAGTCTGGTACTTTAACGATAAAATCTCATTGCACATCTTCTTTACTGATGATGGAAGAATGGAGCGTGCAAATTTTCTTGAGGTAAAATCATCATGCACCTTCTGCTTCCTTTCAACTTTTAGGGTAGGGTCGTTTCCGTCGTCAATGTTTGAACTTCACGACACGTCCTACTAGGGCCCCGTTTGGTATTGCTTTTTTTCATCAAAAACTATTTCACTTAAAAGTTAAGCAATATAAGTGTTTGGTGAACTCCTGCTTATTTTAAAGCAGTGGCCTGCTTTAATAAAAAGTGGAGTTGAGCATTTAATGAATATTTTCAATTCCTCTAATACCTTCATTAGATTTTAAAAATGACATTGTTTAACCTTCTACACTCATTTAATCCCTGGGAGAGCAAAGTGACTGCCACCACCTACCACTACAAACGCTAACCTTACACCACCACTGCCATCGTTGCTACCACCACCACCACCATAATCATAACCGCCACCACCTCCATCACAACCGCCACCACCATCACCACCATAACCACAATTGGCACCACTACCGCCACAACCGCAGCTGCCACCGCCCCTACCACCATTGTTATCTCTACAACCCAACCACAACACGCACTATTTTGGCACCACCATTGCCCTTGCCACAGCTGTCATCGCCACCACCCTCACTACCATGTCCATTTTTTGTCATTATATACAGTTATATCAAACTATTACATTAAAATTTACCAAACACATTTACAATGCTTTTCATATAACACTTTAAAAATAGAGTTTATTAAGCGCTCAACTGTTTTATTTTACAACTGATTATTCATAAAACTCGTCATAAGCAGTTTTTATTTAAAAGCGCAACAATCCCAAACTGGCTCTAGATATAAGACCCATATCAAGCTGAAAATATGTGTTGGCTTTTTAAAGTTTGTTGACTATATTATTCTAGTGTATATTTAAGCAATGACGTCGTTTAGTTAGACATGGAAGGGAGCTAAGGTTGGGAGATGATAGAATACGACAACAATGGACACCTAACATCCCATTAGGGCCATTACTACAGCAATGCTTTGCTCTTGTGCCTTGTTGCCGTATTTCCTTTCAGTTAAAAAGCTCGAGAGGAATATGATGGAATGAAGATGAAGTGGGTCTAAAAGTAGGCTGTTGATTAAAGTGGGAGTTTTAAAACACAAAGTTGTGGTAGAGAAGTTAAAACGGGTGTAAATGTTTTCGGAAAAGCAGGTATAGTCTGGAACTTATTGATTGTAGCACTTAAACACTGATGCTTATCCCCATTGCAGACATGGAGGTCTCTTCCGGACACAAATGAGATTACAAAGGACTTACCTGGCATTGTGGTGAGCAATGTTGAAGCGACTCTGGACCGCCTGGCTGCTACAAACATGTTCTTCATTGCGAAGCGCAAACATGCCAACCAGGACGTGTTCTATTTCTCAGCAAAAATCCCTCGAGGAATACCATTCTTGATTGAACTCACCACTGTCGTGAATAACCCCGGGGTCAAGATTGCAATCAAGACTCCAAGCCCGGAGACAGCACCTCTTTTCTTTGAAGCCATGGAGACTCTCCTCAGGATTGATTCTGCTTTATATGTTTATAATTTTTGTATCTCTTTTTTTTTTTTTTGTGCTTTTTTTCTTTAGTATTTGTAAACTCAGCAGCGGATATCGAGTTTTTTTTTCTTTTTTCGTGGTCGATCTGTCTGCCATTCTTTGTACTTTTCCTTCGTTGCCACTTACATTGACCTTAAATTGTTCAAACTTTTGAGTTACATATTTCAATACACTGGTTGTCGTGGTTCGATTCAACTCGGTGTCTGATCGTTATATTCTTCGCCTTTAAGTTTGATGGTTCAATTCGTGTTAGAAATGTGTTTACCGATCACAGTTGTTGGAAATGTCAGCGACAGTTGCCCTGTCTGTGGACGACGTTGAACTGTTGACGTTGCAGGCTCTATTTGCATCAACGGTTGAAAGTCATTCACGCTCGTGGCGGATTGTGGCAACTGGCAAGCACGCCTAGAGTTAGTGCTATGGAACCTGGATTTCCAATTTCTGCGTAATTTCTAATCAACCAATACCGTATCTTCCATTCCATTGATCTTCATATAACCATTGAGAGCTACATATGACCTAATTTGAGTTTGAGGAATTACTAGATGTACACAAAAAATGAAATGAAAAGGGTGATGTTATTTACATGTTCTTAGCACTAGACGACTGATCACTGCCACGAGTGATCCTTAAGTGTTTAGAACTAATCACGTTGTTGATACACATTTATCATGAATGGCTTTTGTGTAAACTTTTACGTAGAAAGTAAACAAAAATGTAAAAGAAAAGGAAGAAGACATGAAAGTGAATGAGCTTTTTCGCAAATGACCTTCTACCATAGTAGTGGAGATGAGTGTTGTCTTTGCACCACCACTTTGCATGTAGGAACTGAGGAAACATCGCCCAAATTGTATTTGTTTATACATTTTCTCCCCTTTCGGGTCTGAGACTGTTTTCTTCTCGCCGAGTTGGGGCATCCAAGTTGACTCAGCAATCCCACCAGCCACACCCAGAGGTAAATCTTCTTACAATCTTTCTCCCTAGTTTCCATCTAGAGCTTTGAAGCTCTTTAACGCTCGTTTGACTAAAAAAAAAAGATGTTCATGTAAATGTGATTGATTTAAAAGCAAAAGAAAACGGTTTCAAGTTTTGATTTGTACTGTCATTTGTTAGGTTCTAGAGAAAATGCAGAAACCAAATGAGATTTCAAGTACTTTTTTTTTCTCTAGTTTTTTGTCTTCGGAACTTAATTATGCGTTCCATTGAGTTTAATTTAAACTTTTTATAGCTGAATTATGTACTTTTAGGTGTTAATCACCTCCTAGAAAGTAACAGCGATCATAAGCTAATGAAGCTGTTCATTTGACTAAGTCTGTGAATCTGAAACCAATTTATCACTAATTAATACACGTATATTATTTGTGGCTGGTGAAACTGAATATATGGTTGGAGGCAGGGTCCCGCCGCTGGTAAATTGCACGACGGTGGCCAAAGGAATGCTAAATTGTACAAAGAAAAAAAAATACACGTATATTATTTGCAGCTGTGTATGTATGTATAAACAAAATGCATATGGTTGGAGGCCCGTATTTTAGCTGTCTGCGTGTGTGAATGTACACACGCATTCCCGACACCTATGTTCACATTATACTGAAAGTTTAATATTTTTGAAGGGTATCATACTTGTTATTCTGGTTTTACTCGTAGATGCCATAGCCAAGAGAAGAAGGTCAGAATTCGTTTTAAGCTACATGGAATTCCATGTTTGTTCACTGAATATTGAATCAATGATATTAGTCCTCACAATTGCTCAATTGATTTTGGTGATTACTGTCTTAGGTCCGGTTCGCCACACAGCTCTCCTTCACCTGTCAGAGGCCACCGGTCGAGATCATTGTCGAGGTCTAGGAGAAGTCGTTCTAGGTATACTGGAAATCTCAAATTCCCTATTTTTAACCTGTTTTGGTTTTATGGTTTCTGTTTTATTCAAACCTCAATACTCTGGTCAAGCTTTGTTGAGTTGAATTGAAGAAAACTCTGGTTTTTCTTTCTGCAGGAGCCATGAACCTGTCGACGCATTCTAACATAACGTTTTTACCTATCTTGTCCTTTCTTTATTAGACTTCACATAGAATAGGTCATGCTCCATGTTTACTATTTAATCGCTTCATGTCAATTTGGAGAGTAATAATCTTTCGAGAACCTTAATACATATTATATTCCTAGAGAATCACATACTGAGCTCTTGTTTCAGGTACTGGACTGCCATCTGGTTACAGGCCCTCACACCAGAGAATCTCGTGGATTTGGCTTTGTCGCAAAGGAAACTGTTGAGGATGCAGAACGCTGCATCAAATATTTGGATCGGTCTGTGCTTCAAGGTCGATTAGTTACAGTTGAAAAGGTATTAGTTTCTGTCAAATGATCAAGAAAGTTGCCGTGCAGTATGCAGTTGAATTGTTTATACTTTTTCTTATGAAGATTTTACCTATTAAAGATGTTGCCTAACAAGTTTTGGCAGCAGGTCTGGTCACTGTAGCCTTCACTATCTAAGCTCTACACAGTCGAAACTATCCCCTTCACAACATGAGTGTTTGCGTCGACATTCAAAAATCATCAATACAAACTCAACTATTTTGCCGAGGGTTGAATGCCCTTTAGTCCTCTTTTTCGTTTGCAACAGCGTCTTCCATGGTTGTTATTTACCTTACTATTTAATGCCCTAGAGGCATGGTAAATTCTTCTTGTCGCATTGCTTTTTGGGCTTCTCCTACTTAATCCATCTGAACTATATGTTGTATCTAATTAAAATAAAAGGTGGAAGTTGGACAGAAAATCTCCTTGCAGCCAGTCTGGTTAGCAAGGCATGCCGTTTGCTTGGTATACAGTTAGGAGGGTGACTTTAAAAGTACGATAATGCACTGCTATGGACCGTCTGTTGCGATGATTATGATCCACATGGAAGCAGCCGCAAATGGAAGGCACTGTTACTGTTTTAAGTAGATTGTTGACTTGTTTACCTATCTTCTATTCACTTCGAGTCATCTATTCACGTATTTATCTTCCATGACGCTATTTTGTGTTTTGTGTAAATGTGCAGGCAAAAAGGAAACGAGGGAGGAGTCCAACTCCAGGAAGGTATCAAGGTTTGAGAGATAAACGAGGTACAGACATGGATCAATATTCTAATTTTCTAGCAATTGTGCATCGTTGCTGACCTTAACATGGGTTAGTCACAAAACTGAACTCTTACTTGGAGCTTTTGTCACTCCTCTCCCTGTAACCTTTTACACACACTACCGCGGGAGGTCTACCTGTGTTATTTTATGCCTGGCCCTCTAGATCTGAACAATCTGCATTTCGGGTGTACAATCGAGTTCGCCATAGCTAATTTTTAGATTAGAGCCTATTTTAATGCTTTGTTTGAGGTGTGGTGATGGGGGAATGTGGTACTCTTGAAATTTCATTCCTTCTTCAGCGCAACGCTGAAAATGTTTCCTCTTTGACCTCACTTAGCTTTTAAGCCCCGATAATGTAGCCGAGTTCACCTTACCCTTTTCGTCGTGTCCCATTTATCATAAGTCTACAGTGCCTACTTCCTTTGAAATGGAAAGATACTAATTTTGAAGTAGGATTGAGACACTGGATTCACATCTCATGTGAACCATGTTAGTGTATATGTGTTTTCTTTGTATTTCAATGGAGGTTTTCAGGCAACCTTCGAAAATGGCAGAGAATATAGAAAGAATTTCAAAGAGAAGATGATTAAATATATTTCTGATTTTTTTTTTCACCCTTACAACATGTGTGTGTTTGTTACCGTTATACATGGAAAGGAAGGGAGATCCTCATTCACCAAAACCAAGGTACAATCTCAACCCTTAATTGCCATCATCCTATGAGATGATGTCACTTGTCTTAATCTATCACTTAAGCTAGATACAAGATTGAGTTACCATATGGACTATGATCCAATGGCTCAGATTCAAACTAAAAACAAAAACATTTAAACTAATTCTTTGCCGCCAAGCTTCAACTGAAGGGTTACACACCAACACTCCCCTCTAACCCTTTAGTTGATTTAACTCCGAGTAGCTCCCTTAGATTTGCAAATCGATCCTTAGGCAAAGCTTTAGTAAGTATGTCTGCAATTTGCTCCTCAGTCCTACAGTACACCAATTCAATCTCTTTGGCTTGAATTGCTTCTCGGATGCAATGAAATTTTATGCTGATGTGTCTTGTCTTTTGATGAAGGACAGGGTTCTTTGCTATAGCAATGGCTGATGTATTATCTGCATGATCTGAGTTCTTCCACTTGTTCTTCTCCAAAATCCTCAAGTACAAACCTCAGCCATTTTGCTTGAGAAGTAGCTTCTGCAGCACTAACATATTTTGCTTCTGCTGTGGACAATGCCACTGTTCTTTGTTTGATTGATGCCCATGAGAATACACCGGATCCTAGTGTAAATGCAAACCCTGAAATGCTCCTCATATCATCCTCACTTCCTGCCCAGTCACTATCACAGTAACCAATTAGAGTAGTTGTCTTCCCTTCTTCAAAAACAATTCCAAAATCAATTGTTCCCTGAATGTATCTCAGCACCCTCTTTTGCTGCCCCCATGTGCTTCTTGGTAGGATTATGCATGAACCTTGCCAATAGACTTGGTCCAAACATCACATCAGGTCTAGTTGCAGTCACATAGAGCAAGCTTCCCACAATCTGCCTATATTCTCCTTCATTTGCAACTTCACTTCCATCAATCTTGCTCAATCTCTCATTCATTGCAAGTAGAGTAGCTACTGTTTTGCAGTCTTTTAATCCAAACTTCTCATTAAACTTCTGTGCATAGTTCTTTTGGTGTATGAAAATGCTCTTCTCAGTTTGTAATACTCTCATTCCAAGAAAGTGATGTAACAATCCCAAATTTGTCATCTTATAGTGCTTCATCATGTCATCTCTAAACTCTTCAAGCATTTATGGATTGCTACCTGTGTATACAATATCATCTACATATAAGGAGACAATAATGATACCTAACTCCTCCTTTGTTTTAACATACAAGGTTGCTTCACGCTTCACTTAAACTCTTCTTAAAACCAGCACTGTTGAAATATGCATCAATTTCATCATACCAGGCCCTTGGTGCCTGTTTCAATCCATATAGTGCCTTGTGCAGTCTGTACACCTTAGTTTCTTCATTCTCCTTCACAAAACCTTATGGTTGTTCAACATACACTTCTTCTTTTAATACTCCATTGAGAAATGTAGACTTCACATCCAGTTGGTACAAGTTCCATTTCTTTTGTGCAGCAAAGGCAATCAAGGTTCTAATGGTATCTAACCTTGCCACTGGGGCAAAGGTTTCATTGTAGTCAATTCCAGGCTTTTGTGAATAGCCTTTAGCCACCAATCTAGCTTTATTTTTCTGCACAGTACCATCTAGATTAAGTTTGGTCTTATAAACCCACTTGACACCGATGACAGGTTTATCAAATGGTCTCTCAACAAGCTGCCATGTATTATTCTTCTCTATCATTTCCAACTCAGCTTCCATTGCATTTCTCCATGATTCATCTTTAGCTGCATCATCATAGCTTTCAGGTTCAACAATACATATGTAGCACTGAGCCATAATTTCATTCACACTTCTCCACTTTTTAAGTGTAGAAACACATACTTGAGACTTGTCAATCACATTTTCACTTTGAGAAGTAACAAGTTGCTCAGAATGAGAACTTTCACCAATTTCACAAATCTTAGTAGCACTTTGACACTCAGTGACATATAGAAATCTTACTTCATTGTTGATAGTGCAGTTCCAATCCCAGGAAACATTCTCATCAAATGTAACATATCTTGATAGAATGATCTTCGTTGAAATCGGATCATACAATCTGTAACCTTTCTCACTAGCACCATATCCTACAATATGCACTTATGACTGTTTTCTTCCAACTTGTGTTTGAGATTTGAAGGAATGTGCACATAGCAAAGTGAACCAAAGACCTTCAAATGAGCTATCCCTGGTTTTCTACCACTGTAAGCTTCAAATGGAGTTGTTTTCTTCAATGCTTTGGTAGGACACCTATAAGTAAATAAACTACAGTATTCACTACTTCTGCCTAAAATGCATATGGAAGATTCATTTCATGTAACATTGACTTTGCATTTCCACCAGAGTCCTATTCTTTCTCTCTGACACACCATTTTGTTGGGAAGTGTAAGCCATAGTTAACTGTCTTTGAATTCCTAGCTCACTGCAGTACTTGTCAAATTCTGTAGAAAGGAATTCTCCCCCTCTATCACTTCTGAGGCATTGAACCTTATATCCACATTGCAATTCAGTCTTTGCTTTAAATTTCTTAAAACACACCAATGCATCAAACTTATCTCACAAAAAGTACACCCATGTCATTCTAGTGCAATCATCTGTGAATAACAGAAAATACTTGTTTCCAGAATAAGTTTCAACTTGCATTGGACCACAAATGTCTGTGTGAATCAATTCTAGTGGATCCTGGGCTCTCCAAGTTGATTCAGAGGGAAATGAATCCATATGTTGTTTTCACATCATACAACCCTCACATACACTTGTGGACATTTCCAAGTGAGGCAATGCATGCACCATTTCCTGTTCTTCAAGCAACTGGAGACTTTTCTCATTCAAATGTCCCAATCTTTTATGCCATATCTGAGAGCAATGTGTGACACTAGCTCTTAGTGCAAACTATATTGCAAGCATCATTGTCAAAGGAAAACACCTATTATTAGTCATTTGTACTATCACTACCAAATTGTCAAGTGACCAACCATCAAAAATATTCACTACATTTCGTCCAAACACCAAGTAATAACCATGTTCCATCATATGTCCAACACTGAGAAGATTCTCCTCAAATCCAAAAACAAGCATCACTTCTTGTAAGTGTTTTCTTCCCAATTTGGTCTCTATCACCAGAGTTCGTTTTCCAGCTACCTGAACAATTTCTCCAATTCCCATCTTCACTTTGGAAGTCAAATTTCTCTAGATATTGACTAACAACCTCTCATCACTTGTCATGTGATTACTACAACCACTGTCAATATACCAAGAGTTATTAACCTTCACATTTGTCACTGCATTACAAACATAAAACAGTGATCCTGTCTCCCCCATTTGCCTTGCATAATTGACCTTCTGCACTCCCTTGTTCTCATTACAATCCTTCACATCATGACCTGGTTTCCCACACCCTGTACACTTTGGTTTTCCTTCATACCAACACTTCCCATAGTGGAACCTGTCACACCATTTGCAATCTCCCTGAGTGTTGTTTTGTTTCTGAGCATAATTAGGCCTATGATCCCAATTTGTCTAAACATTATTCTGCCTCTGAGCATAATTAGGTTTGTGATCCCAATTTCTCTGAGTGTTTTATTCTACCTATGGACAAAGTTAGGCTCGTGATCCCAATGTCTCCCTCTTGGCTTCTAGTTCTCTTGAGATCTCTGATTCCCAGAGAATCCATCACTTTTGGAACCCTTAATTGCAACATTTAAACTTGCAAATGCTCTCTCAGTAGAGGACTCAACATGTAAATCAAGTCTCTGTTCAAATCCCTTGAGAGAAGCAACAACTTCTTGGACCTCAAGAGTTTTGAGATCTCTAGGATGCCCAATCACAGAACAAATTGCATCATATATTTTTGGAAGACCAATTAGTAATTTCTACACAATTCTCTCCCTAGATAATACTTCTCCATAACTTCCCATTTGATTAATAATATCAAACAGTCTAGTGAGATTACACAAATAACGATTCACTATCCTTCATACAAGTATACTCAAAATCTCTATGTAACCCTTGCAATTTTACATTTCTTACTTGTTTATGTCCTCGGAATTCACCTTTCAGAACATCCCAAGCTCCTTTAGATGTTTCTTCATTCATGATTATGGGGAAGATCTGATCTGAGACAACGCCTTGAATCATTCCAAGCACACGAGCATCCTTCATCAGGATCTCACTAAATGACACCACCTCCGGCGTCTCCTTCTTCGTCTTGTCAACCATAGCTTTCTTAGTCTTCAGATCTGAAGGTTCAAACCCATTTTCAACCAACTCCCACAAATCAAACGATTTCAGTATAGTTGTCATGCGAATCTCCAAAACTCATAGTTCTCTCCATTGGACACGGGAGCTCTAAGCTCAGCACTGCTTGATCTAGCCATGTTAGACTTGGATTCAAGGAAATCTCAATTTCTAGATTCGATTTGAGCTCAAAATGCAGCTCAATCGCACTCACAGATTTCACTTCCAGTTTAGACTGATGAAACCTGGCTCTGAGGCCATGTTAGTGTATATGTGTTTTCTTTGTATTTCAATGGAGGTTTTCTGCAATCTTTGAAAATAGCAAAGAATATAGAGAGAATTTCAAAGAGAAGATGATGAAATATATTTCTGATTTTTTTTTTTCCATCCTTACAACATGTGTGTGTTTGTTACCATTATACATGGAAAGGAAGGGAGATCCTTCACTCACCAAAACCAAGATACAATCTCAACCCTCAATTGCTATCACCCTATGAGATGATGTCACTTGTCTTAATCTATCACTTAAGCTAGATACAAGATTGAGCTGCCATATGGACTATGATCCAATGGCTCAGATTCAAACTAAAAACAAAAATATTTAAACTGATTCTTTGCCACCAAGCTTCAACTGAAGGGTTACACACCAACACTCCCCTCTAACCCTTTAGTTGATTTAACTCCAAGTAGCTCCTTTAGAT